CTTTGTTTTAATAAAAGAGAAGGGGAATAAATCTCTACAAAATGTAGAGAGATGTATCCTTTCCCCAGAGTATTTCCTGGTCGAAAACATACCAGCAAACTAACACTCTGAAGTCCAAGTTGTCAAGAAGCCTGTGTCTCTTATAAAGTGGGAAGAAACCACTCTACAATTCTGCTATTCTCTAAGCTTAATGAAATGCTAGCAGGCTGTCCTGCTGTTCCCCATATCTTATATTTCCAGGCCTTGCCACCTGTGCAACAAAAGCAAGCAATCTATTTGGAAGAGTGTTTTTCATTCTTTTAACTCTGAAGGTCTTTATTCTCAGCATGAGATTATTGCAACAACTTAACAAGCCGTGTTTTCTCCCCCTATTTTCCTTTCTTTTCTTTTTGCACCTATGTCCTTTTAAGTCCATTCAGGCCTTAGGGAAACATTTAGTACTTAAGCTTTGGTTTTTCAAGCTCAATCGGGTAGAAAATCTAACACAGAATGTGTGCACAAACGATAGCTCTGCACAATAGAGACGAACAAATAGCACAAAGAGAAGAGAAGAATATGAGTGTTCAGGGAGCAGGGCTGCGCTTGAATTCAATTTCCCAACAGCAGACCTGATGCTTTCTCCCAAGATTCCCAGGTTTCAAATTGGTCATATGTTGAAGGCCAGTTACCTGGACAATGGGGGGAAATGGCAGTCGGTAATTATGATCTTGGTTTCTAGGTTGTTAGGAGACTAATATTAATCCTGAAATTGTATGAGGAATGTGTTCATCTGGCCATAATTGTATAGTCTTCTTGAAAGCATTTACCAGCAATGCTAATTTAACGCAAATCACCCCAGGGGAGTATTTCTGAGCTAGTGGAGTTGTCAATTTATTGGTTAACTCAGGACAGTTTCTCCAGAACAGAAACAGCAACAGCAAACTCACAAAACGATACAGGTATATATTTCTATTTTCCATCAGGTGAAAAACTCGGTATAAAGATTATCAGAGCACGTATTGTTCTTTGAAAAACAAAGTGCCTGTGTTGGCTGAGTGGCAAATGATGGTGAATGCTGCTGAATTACACGCAATTAAAAGCATCGTAAGATATTAACACCAGGAAATAATAATGCTGTTGTCACAAAACACATTCAATTTGAATAAATACATCAAAATGTTGTCTTTCACAGTGAAATATCTATGTAAAAGAATTATTTATCCTATTCTCTCAATCTCCCTCAAAATTAAAGCATAGGTTATAGGTGCTATGTTTGTGTTTGTTTTTCTTTTGTGAGAGAAAAGAAGATTGAAAATCCCAGGAAGATTCCAAAAATGTTACATCTTTAGAAACAAGACAAAAGAACCATAGCATTTGCTTAAGCTTGCTTTTTAGGATTCTTTTGATTGTGCTCAATGAAGATTATTCTTTCGTTCTTCCTTTTGTTTTTCTTCAATCATTTACTATTTTATCATAGTCTGACAGGAAAAGGCGAGTTTCTAAATTTTTGGAAATAAAGTTAAGCTTCATTTTTGAGACAATGTATTTTTAAGCTTTATAGACAGTAACATGAAACTAGGTAATTTCGTTGATTCACGGGGCCAACTCTGTTGTACACATGACTGGTTAAGGGAACAATGTTCCCACAAATTTTATAGCTCTTGGATTGAAAGACAAGCATAGAAATATTCTCAAAAAAGAGCTTGCTTTATCTACTGACATGATTGTGATACTCAGTTTCTCTCTACCACTAATGACAATGATTTGGCATCTTAACCTTAAGCAAATACTAGGAATAATGAGGATAGAATATTAATATAACCACTAAAATAAATAAACCAAGAAATTGAAAACTTTAAGGAAAGCCTTTATCCTCAATAAGTTATTTCAAATTTTTATACATATGTGTGATCTCTCTATATAAAAATCTTATATATTATATATGTGATTAGATTAAAGTTGTCAAAATAATTTTTGTATGTAGACAGCTGAAGGGTTGTACAGCAGGTTTGTTTGAAGAGAGTAGGGTAAGATTTCAAGAGTTGTCCCTTTTAGGGAGCACATGTGCATAAATACTTGGAAAGACAGAATTGGTCCAGTCTTTTAGATGTGGTTCATCCATGAATTAGTTGGATCCTACTCTAAGCAACTTGGTGTTTCTGGAAGGCTACGTAAGGAGTAGTTGTAGTTACTTGTGCCTCTGTTATTAAATAACTCAACATACTCCTTATGGTCAGTACTCCAAATTCTAGTTATAAGAGGAGTTAGATATTCATCAAGATATTTGGGGTTTGTTTCTGTTGTTGTTTTGCTATTAAGTTGTATGAGTTCCTAATATATTTTGGATGTTAACCCCTTATGAGATATACACTTTGCAATATTTTCTCCCATTCCTTAGGATTTTCATAGGTTGCCTTTTCATTTTGTTCATCATTTCTGTTTCTATGCAGAAGCATTATAGTTTGATGTAGTCCCACTTGTTTATTTTTGCTTTTGTTTCCTTTTGTACTTTTGTTGTCATATCCAAAATACCATTGCCAAGACCAATGTCAAGGAACTTCCCCCCTTATGTTTTTTTCTGGGAGTTTTACAGTTTCAGATCTTACATTTAAGTCTTTAATCTATTTTGAGATAACTTTTGTGAGCGGTGTAAGATAGGGGTCCAGTTTCATCCTTTTGCATGTGGATATCCAGTTATCCCAGCATCATTTATTGAAAATACCATCTTTCTTCCCATTGAGTGTTCTTAGCTTCCTCATCAAATATTAGTTGATCGTATATGCTTGGGTTTATTTCTCGCTCTTGATTCTGTTCCAATGGTCTATTTTTACGCCAGTACCATACTGCTTTGATCACGATAGCTTTGTAGTATAGTTTGAAATCAGGAGGTGTGATGTCTCCAGTTTTGCTCTTCCTTCTCAAGATTACTTTGGCTATTAAAGGTCTTTTGTGGTTCCATATGATTTTGAGGACTGTTATTTCTATTTCTGTGAAAAATGCCATTGAAATTTTGATGAGGCTTGCATTGAATCTATAGATGGCTTTGGGTAGTATGGACATTTTAACAGTATTTATTGTTCTGATTCATGAACATGGGATATCTTTCCACTTATTTAAATCATCTTCAATTTCTTTCATCAGTGTCTCATAGTTTTCTGTGTACAGATTTTTAACCACCTTGGTTAAATTTATTCCTAAGTTTTTAATTTTATTTGATTGATTAGTTTTCAGCCATTATAATTATTGCTTCTGGGTTTCAGTTACCTAGGGCTTTGTTGATCAGTGATGAATGGGTATCGCAAATGCACCCCTACTGAAGACTTAAAGATTGACAATAACATGAGGTTGTCTATGTCTTCATGAAAATGTTTGATTTTAAATAGCTTTAATGAGATATGCCAAAGAAATGGTTAATGTGTCAGAGTTTTCAGCACTCTAAAGGTTTTTAGGTGAGGTTAATGAATGGATCTTTTCCCATGAAATCACAATTCCAACTTTAAGTGTTTATTGAAGATTTTCTCCATGCCTTATGTCATGCTACTTACATACTGAGGGTTACAAGAGAAGAATGAAAGAAACAGATAAGACTTTATTAAACGTAGTACAAACAATTTTTAATCTAAGAAACCATATGTTTTTAATGGAAGATTTGACTTTAAATATTATGGAAATTCAGAGAAGGCTTATAGTGGGTTTGGGATAATCATTAAAACTTCTTGAAGGCTAAGAAAAGCTTCTGGAAGGTTAAGAAAGAGCCATGATTGATAGATAGGATTAGGATGGGAGGATAAGAAACACAGAGAAAAGAAAAGGCACAATATTGACTTGCGAGGACACTTGCCTATCTATCAAATGTATGAGCATTGCTGCCAATAGAATCTCCTAGGGTGCATTTGAGTTCCTATTTCTCATTCAAATGTCTCAAGATGAAATACTAGTTCTCATCTACCTATAGCCTTCAAGTATTGAATGCTGGTTACTGCAGAGGGACTGCAGAGGGTGGAAAAACCTCATCCTTAAAACTCTGATGAGTCTTTGATAATGAAGTTTAGTTTGCAGTACTATACACTGAGTTTTCTAGACATATGTTGCATTTTTGCCTACCGAATCTTCATGTGTTCTTTGTTAGGACTTTTATCCTCCTTATCCCCTAAAGATAATCTATCAGTGCAAAATGACTCTGGAAATGAGCATTTATTTCCAAAGGATTACTGAACAACTGGGGTGAATGGTCTTTTGTATGTCTGGAGCCCCTGGAAGACCTTTAATCATCAGGAAATGCTCTGCATCTCCATAATTATTGGTGGAAAAAAATTGATTTTCACAATATATTAATGGCTGAAACAATCATCTAGGTCTTCCATAATTTTGACCACATATATCATTCTGTTTATAGTGGGCCGTTTCTCTCATCAATGTAGAGGACGTCTTGTATGGTGTAATGGCAAAATCACATTGTGTCATACTCTTCCTTTCAAATGTCATTCTGATTTTCCTTTGAACATTCTTATTAGCTTGGGAAATTACATACATTGATAACCATTATATTAGGCATCTAAAAAATCTATTGCAGCATGATTATTACTGGTTAGATTAAGCAGGACATGGCATATGGCCCACCACCAAAAAGAGTTCTGTCACTTTATAGAATTTTTAAAAGAAAGAAATATAAAGATAATGCTTCTCAGTTCTCTGTACTCAAACATGGACTTTGAGCTGTTTTTATGATTCTATATTTGATAAAAAACTGTTTAGGGGCACAGGCTTGCAAATCTGACAACCCAGGGTTTGACTCTTATTTCTACTCATACTGAGCTGTAGTCTCTCAGCTTCCTCATCTGCAAAATAGGATTAAATAAGCCAATGTGTATAAAGTGCTTAGTAAATAGCATTAGTCAGGGGAAGGCGACTGACACAGAGTGACCTCTGTCTACATATTCATAACTTATTTTGTAATTAATGGCAACCACTTATAAAATAAAGTACTTTTCCCCAAACTCTTTTATTCATGTGATCCTCAGGGCCTGAACTCAATGAAGAGTGGAAATGCAATTGGCAAAACTCTAATACAAAGGCCTAATTGAGAATCCTACGAGGGTGTTTCCAGGGTATTCTACAGGCCTCTTCACCATGCCAACATGAGAGAGGTACCTTCATTGTTTGATATGCCCCTTTTATCCCTGTGTACCATGTAATCAAAAGCGTCCTGGAGATGAGTTTCTAGTTACTAGAGTTCATTGACCTTTGGAACGCGATTAATCTCTCCTCTGTGTCCCTGTCAGTAAATTTGAAATAATAATATTTACACCACCTACTGCAGCATGGACATAAGGATAAGATAAAGTTATATTAGTAATAGCAAACACAGTTGGAATGCTTACTCTGTGCCAGTTACTGTTCTTAGCATTCTACATATACTAACTCATCGATTCTTCTAAAAACCTTTTAAGGTGGGCTCTACTATATATCTCAACAGGGCAGTTGCAACATCTTCCTTTTCTAATTCATCCTGTATGTTCCAGCTAAAAATCTACACATTTAGCCATGTACAAAGAAAAGTCATTCAACTTAATGGATTGAGGTAGTCTGGCTCCACACAATAGTGATATCTCAGAGATTTTGACAGCACTTTGCAAACAGTAAATAGCAAAGAACTGGAATGATCATGCACACTTTAGCTTTCTACCTGTGGGTAAGAGGGCTCTAAATGGATTGGGGATTCCCACTTGGAACCCAGTGAGGGAAGAAACCAAAAGCTGGTTTTATTTTCTAATAGACATTCCAGGAAGTCTCTGAAATGCAGTCAATCTGAGAATAAGATGCAAGAAATGTGAAATCAACAACCAGGTTTTGTGTGCAGCAGAAGTGGAAACATGTATCCATTTGTTCATTCATTCATCCATTCACCATCTGGCATTATGCTAGAAGTCGGTAATACACAGATGAAAAAAGATGCAGGTTTTTGTCTTAAAGTACCCATTGTCTAGTGAGGAAGATAACAGGTATGGTTGTCATTCTGCCATCTATTATTGGCATCAACTTGAGTGAGTCACTCAATTGTTCTGATTTTTTATTCTCTCATTTATAAATGAAGATAAAGTCTCCTAGATTACAAAATTTCTGCGAATGTTAAAGACGGGCTGTATAAACTGCCTGAAACAAATCATTACTGGATAAAATAGCTGTTAATGTTATATGAAGGTGGAACATGGAGGAAGTTAAAGTTGGAGAACCAAATTGCACACTCTAATAAGCAAACCATGGAAGGACATTTAGCAGGGACCTGAGATGATCAAGTTTTCCTATTAGAAATTTCACCTCGGTAGTAGGGTGGAGGTTGGGCTGCACAGGGACTAAGTTGAAGGATAGGAAATCTATCGGGAAAGTATTAAAAAACAGAGGATGAGGGCCAACAAGACGGAGAGAGGTTGTGGACTTGGAACAGAGACAAAAATAGATTTTTCTACATCTTCAAGAGGGCTATTTTGTGGGATTTAAAAGCGGAATCAGGGAAAATCAAGCACAAAATAAGTATTTTTTTTTCTGGCAGACAAATCTCATTTAGAACATTTCCCTTGGTTTTGAGGCAGAAGAAAGATAGGTGTTCTGGATGTTAATTTTCTGCCTTTGAGCCTCCATCTCCCCTTCTAAGGGGTCAGTAGGGATCACTTTATTTGGGGCCACTGGCACCCTTCCACAATTCCTTTCTAGCGCATACCTCACCACATTGCACTTATTTTTTATGACTATCTCCCCGAAGAGATGGAGAGCTCAGTGAATAAAGAATGTCTTTTTCTAAATATCCAATATTTAGATAATCTATGGCACAGAGCAGGTATTCAGTAAATGTTTGTGGAATAAATGAATGACTAAACAAATGAAAGCATGATAGTTACACATAAGATCCTCGGACTAGGACTGACGGATTTTGAATCCTGATCCCACCATCAACTACTAGCAGGATACAACTTCCTAAGCCTGTTTCCTCATCTAAGAAATGGAAATTACCATATTATGGTGTTTCAGTGAGGTTCAAGGGCACAAACATGTGCCAAGTGCTTAGCCTACTCCCTGCTACACAATCAGCATTTGCTTAATTAAAGGAGCGCTACCACTATCACTATCAATATTGTCATCATGAAGACAACTAAACTCAACTCCTGACCATTTCCTCCCATACTCTCTCCTGCTCAACAAAACTCTGATTTGAAAAAGTGAATTGATAGACACAATGATTATACTAACTAAATGTGCTGAACAGTAGAATAGATTGATTTTTCTTTCATTATTCCATCTTGCTCTCTCACTCTCTGCCCCATGCAATGAAAGCCCTAGCGTATATCTGTATCTGTATCTATATCTGTATTATATCTGTATCTATCTATAAATGAAATATACATACATCTCTAGGAGAGAGATATATGTGCATACATATACATCTAAGATATATATACACACGCACACACACATCTTCTACATAACCTACGTATCCTATATATCACATATCATGTCATGTATCATATATATATATATATATGCATCTCCTACATTACTTATATGTTCTATATATCATATATTTATATAGATATAGATATTTCCTTGCCATAGAGAAATATTAAAGAAGGAAGACTAGCTCATTGGGAACCCAGAAACAGAAACAGCTTGACCTCATTGAGGTGGTAAGGCAAGTGGCTGTCTTTGAAGAATCAGACCAATATAAACAGGAGTCACTGGGACGATTGGAAAGCAGTTTTCACAGCTTTGTTTTCTTACCAACTGACCAAACATGAAAGATGAAACTCAATATATGGCAAGGGCTCCCTTTATACACTCTTTCCAGCACCTTCCACATTTCCAAATAATTTGTTTGAGAAGCACACTTTGTGTTTTTTATTAAACACATGATTGGGCTGGATTTCTCTGTATTAGGAGACTTAATGTGCCAGTGAACTATAGCTTCAGGTTGGCCATCTGGAAAAATAAACTCCTCAACAGCCATGTAATTTATCTCTTGTCTGGTTTCAGGCAGTGGATTTTTGGGGATTAGTATTGAGCAAACAGCAAGAAGGCACTTTCCTGGGTCCTTGAAATCCCTCTGTCTTCTCCAAAGGGGCATCTTGCTAAGTTACAAGTTAACAAATGGTTCTTACTCCTATAATGCCTTTGTCAACACTATGTATATATGAACCTAATTTTCAATAAAACAAAACAGCTTTCCTTTTCTACTTGAGGAGGCAATGCCATATGGACCAAAGCTTAAGGTCAGAAAAAGCATATTGCCTGGAACACAGGCCAACACACCAGCTGTGCCCTTGCACCAGAAGGTGAGGGGGTGGCAGGAGACCTTTCTCTCCCAGTTGGTAATGCTTACTCCTACCCCCACCCTAACCCACCAAGCTACCAGCTTGGTTGTTTGAGAAATGTCATAGGAGACAATTTCCATGTTTTACTAAAACTAATGGTAATTTTTCTCCCAAAGGTGGAATGCCAAGTCACCTTTTTTAGAGCTCAGCATGTAAGAAGTAGGGCTTGGTAAGCCAATGTCAAAAACCATGTTCACTCAGAGAAACACTACAGTTCCTGATAACTTGCACTTGTTACAGTTCCAAGTACAGTTCCAGAATTATTCTCCCCTTCCCTTTCCTTGATATGGAAGCAATTAGAAGGACATCCTACTTGTGGTTAAAACATGGACTAAGCAGTCAGATAGACCTGAGAGCCTGGCCTAGTTCTGCCACTTATTAGCTAAGTGACCTTGGCTAAATTACCTTTCTAGGCCTCAGTTTTTCCATGCTTTTCCTCATGACTCCCATATAATGGGAATAATATAAGTAATAGCAACGACTCTATCTCATAGGATTATGATGATTAGGTGAGATAATGTAGACAGGTGAAGTTACTAACACAAGTCTGGCAAAAGTACTCAATAAATTTTAATAATAAAATTAATAGAACAAATATATATTTGTTAGGCTCACATCACATACTCCCATACACTGTGCTAGGTTTTTAATATAATAATTATGTCTACTTTTTATAGTTGCCTTCTGTGCCAAGAACTAGGTCAAGGACTTCACAGCTACTATTTCTATGATATAAGAATTGTTGAAACTCGGAGAAATTAACTAGCATTCCCAAGTTCACTTGTGGAGTCCGGATTTAAATCTGGATGCTAAGATTTTTTTCTTTTACCAAATTGCTAATCTTCTGACTATAGAAGAAAAAGGTAAATTGCATTCGCTTGCCATAGTGTGTAAACAGTGACCTAATCAATTCACACTCTTTCTCATACTCTTCATAGAACAGTGGCCACAAGTAGGCAGTGCCCTTGGTTATCTCTGCTTAAGATGTATGCATAGTGTCTTTATCCAACTCTAATGCAAAAGAAACCAATTATCTTTAGATATTCCATCAAAGAAGGTTATCCTCAAAGTCGAAACCTGCTGTGTTCAACAACTCTGTTAGCTTGCTAGGGCTACTATAATAAATACCACAAACTGTGGCTTAAACAGCAGAAATTTAGTATCTCACAGTTCTGGAGATTAGAAGTCTGAAATCAGGGCGTTGCCAGGATGGTTTTCTTCTGAGGGCTGTGAGGGAGTGATCTGTTCTGAGCCTTTCTCCTTGGCTTGTAGATGGCTGTCTTCTCCCTGTGTCTCTTTACGTTGTCTTCCCTCTGTGTGCATCTCTGTGTCCAAGTTTCCCTTTTTATAAGGACACCTGTCCTCTTGGATCAGGGCCTACCTGAATGACCTCACTTTAACTTAATCATCTCTGTAAAGATTGTATTCTTCAAATAAGGTGACATTCTGAGCTACCAGGGAGTTAGGATTCTGACACATGAAGTTGGGGGGGGACACAATTCAACCCATAAGAAACTCATTATGCAATATGCTTTGTCTACTGCAAAGTTTAATAAGCGTGAGTTGAATTAGAATGAAGAACCCGTCAGCCTCAATCTTTAACCTCAAGGCCACTTTTTATTGCTTTCACTCTCTTTCCCTGTTACCTGCCATCCCACCAAACCCATCAAACTTTAGTTCTTTCTATGCAAATTCTTTTTATTTGACTCTTTTCATTTTCCTTTATAACTTCTTAGGGAAAGTCCTTGTTATACTCTATAACAGAAAATTTACCTCTGTACCAGAAAATGTTGATTGCTTACCCTGAAGACACTCCCCAAAAGATTCTTCCTTGTTGTGACAACTTGCCCCCAAAATGCCAGATGAATGATTCCCTTTCTTCACAGTCTTTGTTTTTTGGTTTTTGCTTTGTTTTTTTCAGCTAGAAGCAAGATTTCTCAACCTTAGCACTATTGATATTTTGGACCAGATAATACTTTGTTGTTGAGAGCTGTCTTGTACATTATAGGATGTTTAGCGGCATCCCCGGCCTCTGTCCAGATTCCAGTGTCACTAGCTTAGTTGTGACAAAAGTGTATCCAGACATTGACAAATGTCCCCCAAGGGAGAAGCAGAATCATCTCTGTTTGATAACCACTAAGCTAGAGTGGGCATATGAGGGAGGCAATGTATGGCAGATGGCAGGCACTCAGCAAATGATATTTTCTTTTCCTAACATTTCTATAACTTCAGATATTCTCCAAGTTTGTTTCAACCTTCTTTACTTTCAATAAATGTTGTCCACTAAAAATGAATAACAGCTCAAAGTTTCAATTTCATTCAGAATGTGTCCCAAAGATGTCCTGTTGATCTCTCTTCCAGGACTTTCAGTGCCCCATGAGACATTTCTATTAGATTGTCTAGCCATCTCCTTAAAATAAGCATACCTGCTTGAAACTCACAATATTACCCACTCAAAAACTCTTCCTTTCCTAATTTCATTATTTTAAATAATGGAATCGCTATTCAACGCCACATAAACTTGTGAGCGTAAGTACATATAGCCCCTTAAGTATGGTTGCCTCTGGTGGACCTAAGTTTGTATTCCACCACCTTTTATGGGCAAGTCATGTAACCTCTCTGAGCCCATTCACACGTATATAAGTGTAGTTTTGAAGCACAGGAATAGCATATGTGAAGACAATGGCACACTTATTGGGGGCCTTAGTAAATGTTGGATAGCATTGTTTTATTAGGAATAATGAGGTAAAGAATTTTATATAGGATAACTTCCTGCTTACCATCTAAAAGCTGATGTAATGAGTAAGTTATATTAAAAAAAGCCTTGAAGCAAGTAGGTAAATGGGGTGGGTTCCTAGAGAAAAATAAGAAACATTACATACATGTGCAATAACCTGTACTGGTTACATATCATGTGTAGTATTTTGATGCTTTTGTGGGGTAGAGGAAATAGTTCTAAGTTGGGACAGCATACCTAGCTTTGACACTTCGCGGTTGTGCAACCTTAAGCTCATCACTTAGTCTTTGTATGTCTTAGCTCATTATTCAAAAAAATTGGATGATACCACTACTGGGTTGTGGTCATGATGAAAACACTGGAAGGACAAAACATCTTGCATAGGTACAGAGACAATCCACTTTTAGCTAAACAGTATCATGGTTGGGATTCAGAGAGATTCCCCAAACCACGTTGTGACGGAGGCCCTGAGCACCTGCTAATGCCTATTCCATCAGCGAGATGGTCACTACAGCATATCTCAAGGCCATCCATGTCAGCCCAGACTGGAGAATCTTAAAATATCAATGATGCTGGAAGACACTTTTTTTCAGACTGGTTAGTACTAGTTCCAGGGTTTTGGTGGAGGGAAATGTGCATTCAAGATAATTCACAGATTTGGGGGGAAAGTCCTAAGTACTCTAAAAGCTGAGTCTTCTTCCTAATAATGTGAGCACAGGTCAGCTGGGGCCCAACTCCAACACTCCCCATCTTTGTTATTCCCTGTCACTCACTGGCATTAGTGCTAATGTGGGTGAGGAAACACCTGATATTTCTTACCATAGCATTTGTCTAGAATTTTGGTGTCATTTGATACTTCTAGGATGTTAATTTCCACTTAAGTGGAAAAATTCCTCTCCTACAATGTCAACCATAGGAGAGGATAAAGAATTTTCCCTCTACTGTTCTGACTAGCTGAGACCCCTGTAATAAAAGACAGATTAATAAGAGAAAAACAAACAGAAGTTTATTAGTATGTGTACGGTATGTATACATGGGAGATATGCAGGGAAAAATGAGTAACTCCCTGAGGTGGCTTAGAATTCAGGCTTAAACATCATCTTAATAGAGAAAGGGGAAGGGGCATATAGACTTCTTAGTGAAGAGGAAATGATTTTTGAGAAAGATGAATGGGCCCTTAGAAGAATAGATGGGAGGTATGATAACTTGTGACAAAGTTTGTCTGGGTGTGACATCGACTTCTAGACGCCTCTCCTGTGACAAGAGTCACTCTTCCCTGGTTGATGAAGATCCCAGGGAGGGGATCTATGACAACGGAGTTCCTTTTGGAGACTCTGTCTTTAGGCAGATGAAGGGAGTTCAGTTCCTGCTTTTGCTGTTTTTCAAGTGCCTACGGTTCAAAATAATCGATATATCAAAGTGGCATATTTTGGGATGGCATGTCCCGTACTCCTACAGTCATGTTTCGGGGTATACTCTGCTACCCTTCACAACTCTTCTGTATTAAGTTCAGAAACTTGAATGATTGGTGAGCTACTTGTCCAGTCTGAAACTAGGTGTTCTCTAGGAAGCGAGGCCACCATCTGGAACTCAGAGTCCTAGCCTAACTACGGATTGCCTGCAACAGACCCCATACACAATGCCTATGGACATGTCCAAGCTTCAAGACATTTTTAAATCCAGAAGGTAGTAGTGGCCACTCCTATACAGTGGTAGGAAGGACTCTTAGAAGACCATCTCTTTTGTTTGATTAAGCAAGAGAATGACACAGTGTTATTGCCCCACAAACCCCTCATGCATTTGGAGTGAATCTTCGGAGGACTCACCAGGAGGAAAACTTCATCCCGAGGTGCGAAAAAGAGTTTCTGGAGGGAGTGAGGTTTGCTTGAATCTGTATACTGATGGATTTCTCGAATGGCATTGGGGTAGCGGGGAGTGGGGAGAATAAAAAGGCTGCCTTTCTTGTAACATGCTAAAGCCTGTCACTTAAGGGCAAGGGCCTGATTATTGCTCTTTCACGCATGGGTGCTCTGTTTGCTGAAGGTGTGGTGAAAAGCTGCCAAGAGACAAATTCAACTGTGTATGAGAACCATTCTGTGGTTCCGTGTTTATTTCCCTGGCACCCTCCAAGATCTATCATTTGAGCTGAACAGCTGTTTTCTGCTGCTTGTAAATAAAAGTATTTAAATATGTCTTAAGCACATTGCTTAGAAAGTGTACACGAAACAGGATGCTTTTCTAGCATTAGTGAATCTATATGAAGAAGGAAAGGAAACTTTATCATTTGATTACTGCTAACTTGCATTGTGTGACTGGGATAGTGTTACATTCTCTCAGTGCTGGTTATAAAGATGATAATTAAGTGGGCTGTCCCTGTAGGCTTCCGACCGACTTAGAAGCATTTCTCCTCAGGTTTCAGCTACTACTTCCCTTGAGTGGGAGCTGGCAAAGCAAAATAAGAAGACCTTTGAAGCCACACAATGTCTGGTCTGTCTTGGCTAACTGTATCGTAATATAACTGACATTATAGAAGGTAGCAGGAAAATTCATGTTGGAAACAATACAGTTCCATGTTTCTTTTACAGCAGGGAACAGAATGGGCGCTGCAGTGCTCCTGGGTGACCACTTCCTCCCCGACTGGAGAAGGTGATGGCTGAGTCAACTGTTGACCTGAAAGCAATATCAAAATGGCTATTGTGCAGTACCAGTTTATCAAGTAATCTTAAAATGCTGAGTCTTTTAATTCAGAAGGGTACACTCTGATGGTCCTCTTTTCCTTCACTCACCCTCCCAGCAATTGATCTCACGACTACTAAGCTGCCATTCAGTCTCATTCTCCAACATTGTGTGAATGGGAAGCAAAGCCCAGTAATCATCAGAGTGGATCAGCAGGACCCTGACTTATCTACTAATCATCCAAGTGCGTTCAGCTGAGAAGCCTATTGCTCTCCCGTTTTTTATGAAGAAAAGCATTTCTGTATGCCTCTGGTTAGTCAGCAAAGGAAAGATAAGAAAAAAGAAGTCAAGATTGCCACATTTTGTTGTGTAAGAACAAAAACGATAGTCAGGACTTCCCTGAAGATTTGTGGAATAAAAATGTACAGACAATGACCTCTCTAATAAACTTGCTTAAGCTCCTGAGGTTTGCCCCCTCTCGTTTGAATTGGAGAATTTCTGTTCTGAAGCATTTAGCGGGGTATAGCCTACTCTACATGGCTCTCAGTCTTGAAGATTCTTGACACATCCTGAAGGCATCAGATTACCTTATATCCCAAACTCTTTGCCAAGACATGAAGGAAAATTTGCTTAATGAAGGTTACCATTTTGGAGGCCTCTGCATCCAGGTTCATTTCAGTCCAGTGTCTAAGACTGCAAAATGTCAAATGCTAGGCTGACCAAGTGTTGTGCTAAGACTTGACTGAACCCTTTAATTCAAAAGGATGAGCTTAAAAGAGAGGGGAAATCATCACTTCCTCAAATCTGATTGAAGGTTGAGAGGGATAAAGGGAAGTTTCAACAGCTTGAAACTAGTCCCCAGGAAAACAATGAATAGGGCCTTGAAGAAAAGAAAGGAAGACTTGCTGATTAGCTCCCCCTGTGGAGAGAGTCTCTGCCACTTGGCTTCCTTTGATGAGATTACAGACTTCTGAAGCTAGTTCCCACTGGGGAGGTAGCCATGTTGAAAGAACATCCTTCTAAGTAGGCAGGGAACATATTCCTTGTTCTTGGGGAAGCACATTATTTTTTTCTTGGGAATGACTTAATCATGTTGTCATGAGACCAGAGCTTTGCTTCAGGAGGTTCTGAACCAATCTAGTCTAAGATGAAGTTTAGGTTTATTTGAGGAAATTGCATGAATTCCAGATAGCCAAATTGTTGTCTTTTATCTAAGATGAAGTTTAGGTTTATTTGAGGAAATTGCATGAATTCCAGATAGCCAAATTGTTGTCTTTTATCTTTATCCAATATTCTTCAACAAAGTAGAGAGACATTAATGGTCCTCTTACAATTCTTGTCCTTGAGATTTTTCCAATTCCATTTCTCCGTGGTTTCCCTCAATGCCCACCCTACAAGTGGGGAAGGAGGATCCAAGTTAATTTTTTACTGATTTGGGTACCATAACTTAACAAATAATTTCTGCCCATCTTCTTTTCATATGCCCTTAACTCTCACTACACCCACATATTCCAATTCATACTCTCATAATTTAAGACATTCAGAGTTGAACAGGGTTTTAGTTTAGAGTTAAACTTCCCATTCCTGACTCATGGTGACTAAGTTTTCCTTAAAACCATCAGTGTCAAGGGAATTTCTTTGTTGATTTAAGCTTATTATGGTACATCCCGTCTTTAATTCAGAATCATAGAATCTTAACCAGTTAAAACCCCAAGAGGAATGTAGAGATGTTCTAGTGTGGTGTCCTCATTTTACAGACATGGGAACTGAAAATAAAGGAGATCTGGTATCCTACGTTTTGATATTCTCTTTAATGCAGCCATGAAGAGTGTTTTCTTTTTAACACTGCAATATGTTTGTATTTTTTCCTCCCTTTTTGAAGGCAATGATTATAATTTCTATGCCTGTATTTTGCATTGTGTTTCATACATACTAGGCTGTTCTAACTCAGTGCCATCCAATAAAACTTTCTACGATACTGTAAATGTTCTACAATATCTGCACTATCCAATATGGTAATCACTAGCCACACGTAACTTTTGAGCATTTGAAATGTGGTTAGTGCATCTGGAGAATTGGATCTTTAAAATTATTTCATTTTAAGTACCTTAACTTTAAATTTATATAGCCACATGTTGCTAGTGGTTGCCGTATCAAACATCGCAGCTCTCATTCATTTGTTACTCCACAGCAAGTGAAGAAAAGTTAGGGTACATTTGTTGACTTCATAATGTCTTTTAATATTGTTTGAATCTGAATAACATAGGTTTAGAGATGGAAGGAGCCTAGTCTCATCATCTCAATTAATACCCCCAGAAAAGTGAAAGCATTTGTTCAAGGTCACATGGTTAATTAGGAACAGAACTGGCACCAGAGCCTAGGCCTCCTGGCTCTAGTTTTTCTTTATTATTTTTTCCTTTTTTGTCATAATGTCTTGGAGAAAGTGAGAGAAGGAATCAAGCAGTAAGTGGAAGGGAAAAGCAACAGAAAATTTTAAAAATATGAGGATGATTGAGGATTATAGACAAGAAAGAAGAAAAGAAAGCAAGCCATACCAGAGTAGAGAAATTTAGCAATATCAGAGAATGGAGATGAAGAAAGGGAAAAGAATTAAAAGCTTATACTTTCATCCATGAGCCAGCATAAATGAAGAATTCCCTTTTAAACAGAGAACAATGTTACTGTAATAAATCAGGGACCGTTGCGTAGGTGTATATCCATGGTTAGACAATGAAGAGAGCTTAGTGGTTACTGAACCATGACAAAGCCCACATACTAATGAATTACATTCCTCAAAATCCTTGTCAAATCAATCAGAGAACTCTCTCTGAATGAGCGTGGAATGTTAACATCTGGTTCACAGAATGGAGATAACTGTTTCATCCAAAGCCTTAGTTAGTCAAGCTTTTATCCCTCCCTGTTGTCTGCTGATCCCACATTATCCTTCCTCTTGCTTTGCAGCTGTTCAATGGAGAGAACTCGCTGAAGACTGTTGGATTCAGTGGCATGTAAGATACCCGGGAAGTAGAGAAGACTGGTGGAAGTGAATCATTTGGAATCCTAAAGAGCAGCCAGATGTCCCTTCTTCATACAGGGTCCGGATAATCTCTGCAGCTTTAAGAACTTTTCAAGAGAAATAATTTGTGAAGCTCAGTGGTGTTCAAAACAGGATGCTACATTTTTGTGGTCGTATTTTGTATTTCCTAGAAAGCAGGAAAAACTAAGACTGAAATCTATAATATCACGATCTGTATCATACATTCTCTTTTTCTGGATCTTTTCCCATTCTGGCAGGAAAGTGAAATGACACTGAGACATTCTCAGAATGTATGGAATAGTAATTTCTTACTAATTTAATGGTTGTTCAGTTAGATCATGGGGTAGCAAGCTTTTCTTTTGCATCTTGAATGTTACTTTACCTGTTGACATGGCACCATTCTTAAAGTCACAGACTCACGTAGGATTTATTCATTTAGTAGTGTAAGGTGGGGTCGATCATCAGTCCTTTTCAAATCTCACTCTCTCTTTCTTCCATCTGCTTATTTTCTTATTCTGAGGTTCCCTTTTTCTTATTAATACTACCACTCATCCTGGTCAACTGTATTCGAAGTCTGTGGAGCATTTTGACTATCCCTACCCTAGATGATTTCTCCATCAAGCAGCGTCTCTTTCCACAGTCGCACATCTGTCTCCCTCCTTTCTGTTTTGTTTCCTCTAGCCTGAACCAGAGTGTTGTTAGTCTTTCGTCTTTCCTGTCACCAGTACAAGCTACACGCTGTCCTTTAATAAATCATTCTGAAGATCGAGACTAATTGTATCACTCTATAGCTCAAAAACTTTCAATAGTGTGAGGTGCTTAAAAGGAAGAAGAAATAGAAGGAGAGGAGGAGGTGGAGGAAAAAGAGGAAAAAGAAGCAGGAAGTTGCCAGTGAAACAAAATAAAAAGCTAAGAAATTTTACTATATATAAGAATTGAACATAAAGTACTGCTGGTATGTCAAATCAATGGAAACTATATTTCATGCAGTAGTAGCGCATACTTGTTTTAAAATATTTAAATTGAATTTTTACCTTCCAGCATACAACAAAATAACTTTCAGATTGATCAGAATATTAATCTAAAAAAATTCCTAAAAAACTGGAAAGATATCAGAAATAAATATTTAATGTCAAGATTAGAAGACTTTTCTAAATAAAAAAAGCAAAACAAGAAAAAGATTAAACATAACATAAGCATTAAAAGTCCAGTAAGAACTCATTCTCAAAATCCAAAGCAAATGGCCACCGAGAAAAAAATATTTCCAAGATATATGACATTCAAAGTCTGAAACCTGAGTGTATTTAAAATATCAGTATTTCTCACAAATCAGCAGAGAAAAGAGCGCCCCAATAGAAAGAATCTGCAAAGATTATGGAGAGAGAATTCACAAAAGAATAGAAATGATCTATATCATGAAAAGAAAGACATCAAACTTATTGGACTTTTTTCTTTTGTATGTTCTTCCATTGTTTTAAACTTATGAAATCCCTCCCTATTTCAGGATTGGCCAGTCATTCTTTTTCTAGTTCATGTTTTCAGTTTGCATTTAATATTTTAATTCACTCAATTTATTCGGAGGTATGCTCTGAGATATTAGAGCCAATTCAATTGTTATCTTTCCCTCCTTGCTAGATTGTAAGCTCTTTGAGGGCAGGAGCAACGTGCTGTTTATTTCTGTGGACCCTGAAGCATGTGACAAACGTATGATGGACAAGAATCAACAAGGAGGGGTGAAGAGGGGGGATCAGAGAAGTTCTGAGAGAGGAGGCATCTTTTGAGGTTAGTCTTAAAAAGTCTAAAATATTTTCAAGATTTTGTCTTTTTTTTCCCCCCTTTCCTTTTGTGTGTCTCTTTTGGGTTAATCGTGGCTTAAAGGCAACGTAACATGACATAAGAGAAAAGGGTTCTGAAGAAAGGCAAGTGAGGGAGGATTCAAATATTGATGCCACGAATCACTTATGTCACTCTGAGCCTCAATTCCTCACCTTTAAAATAGATATACTGATCACTACTTGCACGGTTGTTAAGGAGATAAAATCCCAGGTTTGTAAGGTGATCAGCGTACTGGTTCTATTCTCTTTGTACTCCTCAGTTTTTTTGATATTCTGTAAGGGACACTGTGCATCTCTTAGCCTCTTTCTCTGTAGTGAAGTAAAACTGTGGTAGTGGGGCCGGCTCCGTGGCCGCTCCGCTGCGGCGGCCCAGGGTTCGGATCCTGGGCGCGGACATGGCACCGCTCGTCAGGCCACGTTGAGGCGGCATCCCACATCCCACAACTAGAAGGACATGCAACTAAAATATACAAGTGTGTACAGGGGGGGTTTGGGGAGATTAAAAAAAAGCAGAAAAAAACCCCCAAAAAACAAAAAAAACTGTGGTAGTATTTATGAAAACATCTTGTAACATGGGATTTTTCTCACAGCATAAAGTACTATTAATTAAGTTTTTTGGTACATATTTAAGTGTAAATTGCTTGTTATGCTTTTGTTAATGATAAATGGAATGTAAGTGATGTTTGAGTGAAACGGTTCAGAGTAGATAAACAGAGGTAAGACAACAGAACAAGGTTAAGTGTGAAAAACAGATAACCAAAAACAATTCTAATTTGTTCGAGTCACTCAGTAGAAATGGCTTGGACTGGGGGGTCAGGCAAACATGAGTTGGAGTCTCGCCCTGCGATAAACTCTCTGTGGTACCTTTGGCAAGTTACTTGCCCTCATTGAGACTCGGTTTCTCCACCTATCAAGCTGGGATTGATAACATTCCCACAGCAGGGGTGTTGTGAAGACCAACGAGATGAGTAAATGAAAGCATATGGCACACACTTGACGTTTGATACATGCTTCTTTTTTTGCTTCTTTTCTTTTCCCTCAAAGACTAAATAGCAAGCCTGATTCACCATAACACCTCTGGGCATTTATGTGTTTAAAAGACATGAATATGTTTTCTTAAGTACCCAACCAACTACCAGCGAGTGCCTTAGGCCTCAGGGAGAATAGATCTCACTTTTACAAATGCGTTCAGACTTGATCCCCTTGTTTATACAAGGATTTTTGGATCCATGTATGTCTCATGACACAGTCTAAACCTCCATGCATACTCAGTTAATCATCCAGATTTGTCTTGCAGGCACACAGCCATCATTTTTGCTCTTGTGAAGACTGAGAACATTGTGTACTTTTTCCTTTGTTTCAGGGGGCTATCGTTCGTTGTTATCGCTGCCTACTTTTTAAATTTTGTGAGCTGTAAAATGTAGTACTATATATTCCTGAGTCTTTTTTTCCCACTGAGAGTATTTAAGTTGAATGTTTCTTTAATAGTCTGGGAGGGATGATGCTGGTAATAAAACAAAGCATCGAAATTTAAAAAATAAGCAGTACATTTATAGCAATTATGTAGGGATGTTATTAGTGAATAAATACAGTATTACAGAATAATATATCTAGGGTGAAAAAATGCTAATCACTATAACCAAGCAATTTTTTCTAGTTCTTTTTGTTTTTTAATAAAAGAATGCTTATATTTTAGAATGACTAAAGCATGGCCAACTATATTTGCATCAGTTATTTCATGTAATAAGATATAGCAGAGTATTTACATTGCTACTCTGTCTTTAAAATTGTTAGTTAAGGAAAATGATTCCAGCCTCTCTTATAGTCTCTCTAGATATGGCCTTGAATGAAAAGAGGCAGCACCCTTTTCTCCCATGATAAAATATTCTCCACATAAAATTTTCCCTTCCTTTCCTAGGCTATGGAGATGTGGGTTTGCTGTTTCCTTTACCTGTATGTCCTGAGTCATAACTATCTTGCTAGAATAAATAATTTAACAATTAACCAGCTTGTCTTAACTTCAGATTTGTTTCTGTTAAGGAAAAAGTTTAATGTTATATTTGACTCTATTATGACCATTTATGCACTTTATAGAAATTATCTCATTTAATTACCTAATTTAAGTTTAAGGTTAGGTGATATAAGTTTGATTGTCCTTATTTCAGAGCTGAGGAAAAGGAGGCCCAGAGAGTTTTCATAAATTATTCCACATTTTTATCTGGTGAGTGAGTTGAAATTATAACCTGGGTCTGAATAGCTGTAAACATAAGTTCTTTCCAGTTCAGTAGGCTACTGGCCCTTTTCACTGATTTGTAAGGGTTCTTAAATGGCCTTTTTATGATTAAAAACTTATGTAAGGGTAATGATTCATTACTCTTTTATATCCCCAAATAAGGAATACATGAGGAAGAGCAGGCTTTTGAGGGGAGAGATGAAGAACCTGGCTTTTGACATGCTCTTTTTCAGGTGTCTGCCATCCATCCAGGTGGAGTTGGACGTATGGGACCTAATCTCTGGAGAGAGAGATCCTAGGACTGGAGACCGAGGCTTGGGAGCATTAGTCACACATACATAATAAATGAAAGGCACTGGCAATCTTGACTCTCTTTGGCCTGTTTTCCCCATTCTTAGAGTGGTTTCAGGGATTCTGAAATTAAAGGTGGACTGATTTAACATATGGGAAGTTCTGCTCTAAATAAGACAGATGGAGCCAGGAGTCTAAGAGGCACCATCTATTAGGAGATGTGGGTAGGAGTCACCCTAAGTACTTAACGTTCGTCTAAGCCAAAGATTCTCAAACGTTGGTATGTATCAGAATCACCTGGAGAGCTAATAAAGAATCAGTGGCCCAGTAGGGTGAGGCCTGGGCCTCTGTGTTTCTATCAAGTTCTCGAGAAGATTCTGAGAGGCTCCAGTGTCTGAGAAGCACTCGTCTAAACCATATTTTGAAATTCTATCTCATCACCAAGTAATGACTTTAAAAAAGCAATCATCTGACCTTTTCTATAATTTAGAAAGATCTGCTGCTGATTTGAAATTTGAATTAAAAATATTTGTTTATATTTTATGCAATTATGTGAGACATTCACATAATAAGGTCTTTTTAAGATGATTTCATCTTTCCCCTTCTACAGAAGGCAAGGATGAGTATGTCCAAGACAGCTGAAAGATTCTCCTTTTCAAATTTGCTTTCCCTGTGGGAAAGAGCATGAGGGAAAGCCAATGAGTCCTGACCCTCCCTGGAGGCAATGCTTACACATATTTTGGAATCTGAGGTGCAGCTGCCAATTTCACCTGCAGGCAGGAAGCACACACCTGCTAGCTACATGGTTTTTAAAATAGCCTGTACTTGGCCAGATTACAAGGAGCACTGTTGTTATGCCATCAAGAAAGGAAGCTGACTTACATGCAAGTAATCCTTATTAAAGGAGATTTTAGGAAGCTGGACACTTGAGAAAAGCAGGCAACTGTGAAAAGAATATCCCCTGCTTACCTTTGTAAAAGCCAACAATTACCCCCAAATTGGGCTGGGATTAGATAAGGCAATCAGTTGTAACAGAGTTGATATCTGGGAAGGGGAGAAGTTTGAGTCATTCAGAGATAAACCTCTTATTATGGTTCCCTTTCCTTGATCATCTTTATCCTCCTACCCCATCCCTACTTTCTACATAGTGGTTGCTGGTGGGGTGAGGAAGGAATGACTTTGGAAGTGCTCCTTAACCAGGCTTTTGTATGCATTGTCCAAGGCTCAGAGCTTTCTCATCAGCAGGCTTTCCTGCCCTGTCATTAGTCCTAGTGGCAAAAGAGCCTCATTCTCATGAACTGACCCATGCCGCGAGCAGGTCACCTCAGATGGAGGCATGCTGCTTTATTCAAAGGCTTCTGAGATTCCCAGATGTTGCGGCAAGAGGCAAATATGGGGATGGACATGCTTTCACTGCTCCGCAGTTCATTTTTTGACCATTGGAAGAAATGGGGTTCTAGCTGATGACGGAATGCGTGGTTTCACGTGGGCCATGTGGATTCTCACCTTTCACAGTTGCAATTGCAAAAAGAGTCTCTTTGTGAGCGCAACAGTTGATTCTCTCTGAATGTTACTACAGCTTAGGGAGAATGAGTATTTCCCCCCCTTCTTTCCATTCCCCCTTCACTTATGCTTAGAAACAGGTAATTGGAGCAGGGCCTCCAAATGTAATCTTGCCCAAAGGCTAAACTCGCCACCTAATGACACACGGTTGTTCTTTATTGAGGCGGTCTTGCACTCATTATCCCTAAATTAGTTCCCTTTTCTCCTTTGCTGTATCATTCATTCACCTCCTCCTTTTTCATGTGGATTTTTCCAAGTGAACCATGACAAAGTGTGTCTTTGTGAGGTTGTGTGTCTGCGCAACAGTGCATCTGTGTGAGTGAGCGCCCTCCCCCACACCCCGCCTTTACATTAAGTGTTTATTTAAGCCAGGGCAGTGGAAAACTGACAAAAATCTTTGGCATTGATTGCCTCCTAATGATCTCACATCAATCCAGGGAGGAAAATATAGCTGCGAGTGGAAGAAGCTGCGCTTGAGTTGCAGGGTGCCCCTTGTCACAGCCAGGTGCAAGCAGCTCAAACTCAGAGGAAAAAATGGAAACCGAGTTTTGAATCAAGACTGTGAGAGTGTTTGTGTAAAAGTATAATTAAGACTTTAACATCTTGTTCTGTCGAAAGAAAAGTTTCATACCCCGCTCATGTGATGTTACATCCAGTTGGACATATAACGTGAGGTAAAGACAAGAAAATACTGACGTGGCTTTCTTTATTCAGTCCCGGGTTGGAATTCCTACTTGACCCCTGGTAACCTAGTGTTACTTAGCCCGTCTGAATCTCAGTCGCCTCACCTGAAATGGTGATAATAATATCAACCTCACGTTTTTGTGGTAAGGATTAAAGGAGATGATATTCAAAGTGCTTGATATAGTGCCTGTTATGCTGTAGACAACAATTTCTAATAGAAATTTGCCGTCTTTCTTGATTCCTTTATAACAAACTGAAACACAGCTTGGAAAAGTTTTGGCTTAATAGCCTGAAAATCTGAGCTTAAATTTTTTTTCCCCACTAGGATCATTTTTTTCTTTAGCTTGAAAAGGGACCTAGAATTTCTGAAGCACACCAGGCATTTCTGTTATGTACCAGACACTCTGCTTGGCAGTGTGATTGTCCCAAACACTTGGACAAATTCTGCAAAGGCTTATTATTATTCTCACCTTGCAGACGAGAAAATGGAGGCTCAGAGAGGTTAAGCGACTTGCCATCGTTCTAAAGTAGGTGGTGGAGCAAGTATGCAAACAAAAGTCTGTCAAAGCTCAACGGGTCTAAGTACAATTGAGAATTAGGGGTCTGGCCCTGTGGCAGAGTGGTTAAAGTTCCACGCACTTGGCTTTGGTGGCCTGGGTTGACAGGTTTGGATCCTGGGCGCAGACCTACTCTACTCATCAGCCACGCTGTGGAGGCATCCCACACACAAAATAGAGGAAGACTGGCACAGATGTTAGCTTAGGGCTAATCTTCCTCAAGCAAAAAAAAGCAGAAGATTGGAAACGGATGTTAGCTCAAGGTGAATCTTCCGCACCAAAAAAAAAAATTGAAAATTAGGGTCTATTACATTCACCTAAATTTGCTTTAAGAAAGTTATTCCTTCAGATATGTAACAAAAATCTTCTGACTCATAGGGCTAGTGGACTCTTTTAGTCTGTACAGAGGAGGAGATCTTAGAACTTTGCCTAACTGCTTGATTCCTAGGGTAAATATATGATATGTGTATTCAATACATCAAATTTACTCGATATTGTTGAATAGATTCAATTATTTCTGCCGCTTTATCAATATGATTTCCTTCAGACACACATCTCATAGATCGCAGCTTCTCCATCTCCTCTTCTTTATCCTACATTGACATTCCAAAGGTAATCATCCTTCTTTACTCCCACCATATTCCAGCTCAACCTCCTTTTTCTTCCCTAGCCCACAGGTTCCTAGGTGTTCTTCAGCCTCTATAGCACTGACAACCCTGCATTGTTGGTTATGTCCTATTGTTTCTTTCCCGTGTATCGTTTTTCTTATTCTGCAAAATCATTTCCTCCTCCTCTACTTTTTATCCTTATTCCGTGAAGCCAGAGCTAGCTGAGAGAGAGTTGAGTAAAGTGGTGTATAGGGAGACGTCTAGGTTCTAGTTCTACCTGGGTGACCTTGGGAAGTGATTTAACATCTCCATGCCTCAGTTTCCCTACAGTAAAAACAAACGTTCCCATTGTAGCTTTCTGTGATTCTTGATCATGGCCCTAATGGCTATAGGTGTAGTTTTTATACCATGGCCTCCACTGGAGGTACAGTCTTTTACTCAAGGGCAGAGTTGGTAGCAATAACAATAATACATATATACAGCACTTTGTATTCATGAGAACAGTACGCAGACCTCATTTTACGTTCCTTCCAACACAGTGAGTTAGGCCAGGTCAACATAGCTAGATAGTAGCAGAACCGGGGCTTGAAATATGGTCCACTCAATTCTGAATCTTTCATTCTGTGCTCTGCACCTCAGCAGGGTAAGGTAAACTGTCTGGGGCATGAGGAGAGGAAGATCACAATGTTTTCATATGCATCTCTATGTGAACTGTGCTGAGGGAGCAAATGGCCAGAGTAGATTGAGAGTAGAAAATGAAAGACTGGAGAGGGCAGTATGACTTTTTCAAAAAGAAAAGAAATCTTCCTGATTAATTATTGTTTCAGGCTGTGTGGTTTTTCCTAAATATCTACGGGATAACATCTGAGTAAGGGAGTATGCTGGTAGTGAAACAGAAAATATAACTGCAATTGCAAAATCCTAAACCCAGTACTAAAGGATGCAGTGCAAGTTACTATAGTGACTTAGGGGATTTTCTATGTTTTCTGCATAGTATTTTCTCTAAAATGAAAAATATTCCTTATTTTAAAATCCATTCTATGGTTAGCTCAAAGATTAGCTTATACA